ACCTTTAAGGACCACAAAATAATCATAGGGTAGCTAAATTTGTATGTTGATGTTGCAGTTGATCATCAAGGATAAGAAATCAATGCAAGCTATTGGAGCTAAATGGGTGTACAGGAATAAGCTACATGAGCAGGGAAATATCACAAAGAATAAGGCAAGGCTGGTTGCAAAAGGATATAGTTAAGAAGAAGGAATTGACTATGATGAGACATATGCACCAGTAGCAAGATTGGAAGCTATCCAGATTCTAATAGCCTATACATCTATCATGAAACTCAAATTATATCAAATGGATGTGAAAAGTGCCTTCTTAAATGGATACATCAAAGAGGAGGTATATGTGTGCCAACCTCTTGGCTTTCAAGATTATTAACATCCAGATCATGTTTACAAGTTGAAGAAAGCCCTATACGAACTCAAACAAGCACCTAGATCATGGTATGAACTCCTAAGCAACTTTTTGGTAAGTCATAACTACAGGAGAGGTAAAGTAGATCCAACTTTATTCATAAAAGATCATAAGAAAAATATTATTGTAGTTCAAATTTATGTTGATGATATAATTTTTGGATCAACTAACAATGATCTTTGGCAAGAGTTTGCCAAAATAATGTAGGGTGAATTTAAGATGTCAATGATGGGTGAACTGACATTCATTCTAGGACTATAAATCAAACAGATCACCAACGACATCTTCATCTCATAATCAAAGTATTGCACTGAATTAATCAAGAAATTTGAACTAGAACATTCAAAGGAAGTAGCTACTTTAATGGCAACGTCTTGCTATCTGGATCAAGATGAACAAGGTAAGATTATTGACCAAACCAAATATAGAGGTATGATCGGTTCCCTACTTTATCTTACAGCAATTAGACCTGATATTATGCATAATATGTGTGTCTGTGCTAGATTTCAGGCTAATCCTAAGGAATCACATTTAGTTGTTGTTAAGAGAATTTTTAAATACTTAAAAAGAACTAGATCATTTGATCTTTGGTACCCCTTAGGAGCGTCACCTAGCATTATAGAATATTCAGATTCAGATTATGGAGGATGTAAACTGGACAGGAAAAGTACAAGTGGGACATGTCATTTACTTGGTTGTTCACTTGTTTCTTGGTACTCCAAGAAACAGACTTGTGTTGCTTTATACACAACTGAAGCTGAGTATATAGTTATAGGTAGTTGTTGTGCCCAAATTCTTTGGATGAAACAACAGCTAGAAGATTACAATATTTTCCTAGATTATATTCCATTAAAATGTGATAGTACTAGTGCAATAAATCTCACTAGGAACCCTATCATGCATTCTAGGACTAATCATATAGAGATTAGGCATCATTTTATTAGTGATCATATTCAAAAAGGAGATTGCATAATGGAATTCATAGATACCACCCATCAGTTAGCTGATATATTTACCAAACCATTACCTAGAGATAGGTTTTATGAGCTAAGACGGGCCTTGGGTATCCTAGATATTGCCTCCTTGATATGATAATTTCTCTATGTCATTTTGTGTTGCTTGCTGTCATAATTGATTATTACATAGCATAATCGATTATATCGTGGCTTTTGGCTCTGGAATAATCAATTATGTCCTTATATAATCGATTATATTGTTTCTGTGTGTGTTGTGATAATCGATTATGTTGTTTATATAGGTGCTGCCATAATCGATTATACTAACTTCCAGAGTGTGGTTTCTACTCTGTCATAATCGATTATGAGAGCCATATAATCGATTATGACGTGATTTTTTTTTAGAATTTGCTATTCAGAAACCCTAATTGCTTTTCTTCATGGCTACATCGTTTCTGTACTTACTCCTTGCACCTTTCATTCCATTTCTATTCTTCTCTCTTTTGGATTTTGAAATTTGAAAATTTGACAATTTGAAATTTGAAAATTGAAAGTTTGAATTTGAAATTTGAAAGAAAATTGAAAGTTTAAATTTGAAATTTGAAAATTGAAGTTTGATATTTAGTTTCCTAGGACTTCCTTCTTGTTGTTCTTTCTTGAAATTGATGTAGTATCTTTGTTGGTGTTGCAATAGTTTCTCTATCTTGATTTAAAAAGTTCCCTTGCAATGTTTTTTTTCATGATCATCAATGAAACAGGGGGAGATTATGATGAATTAAAAATCTGTGTGAAATTCATTCCTGATTCTAAATTACATAGAGGGAGTTATGGGGGATTTTTGCTCAAGATAAGTAAGAGGGAGTTTTGTTATTCACATATCTAGGGGGAGTTTAATCTGTGCTAATCATATGTGTTAATCTGTATTAATCTGTGTTAATTTGTGCTAATCTTAAGATGACTATATAGAGTAAAACATTTTAAATTCATTTTAAGTGTTTCCTTGATCATCATAAAAAAGGGGGAGATTGAAAGCACTGTGAGGGAGATTAATAGCAATGTGAAGCATTTCCCTACATTCTGAAGAAGATGATTTTGATGAAGATTCAAATCAACATTACTCAAGAATCAAGCAAGCCCAGAAGACTAGATAGAGTCTTAGAATACTGAATATGGAGGTACAAGTTGATGAGGAAGTATTATGCATAAGCCTTGAAAACACAAGTGTGAAGCAATTTCGTATTATGACATTTTTCACTGTCATAATCGATTATGTGAGTCTCATAATCGATTATGTCAGCAAATGAAGAAATTGTTTTCGAAAGTTCTCTGTCCTAATCGATTATATAAGTATCATACTCGATTATATAAGTGTCATAATCGAATATGATGCATCAGAAATGAAATTTTGATTTTGCCTCTGTCATAATCAATTATGCAAGTGACATAATCGATTATGACGCTTTGAATTTGAAAAATATATCTATTTTTGAAAGAAAATAGCTATTGAAAACATCCTGATTATTCTCTACGAATTTATTACTGACCAACGACTACTTCTGATTTTTATTCTAACATATTAAATGATATTTTCCTATATAAATGAAGTTTGATGAAAAATCAAAATACAGAAATTTGAATACACAGTTTTAAGAAAATCATTCTGAGCAAGGCAATAGAGTCATTTTACATTTTCTGAGAAAACCTTTCTCTATTTCCTTTGATGCTTTAATTGTTAGTCACACTTGTACTTGAAGCTATTATTTTACAGGCTTCTATAATTTGTTGTCTCCATTATTAGGTGTGACTGTTCTTATTGAAATTCTTGTCATTTAGGGTTTCCTTTGTGGGAGTTGTTCATCATTTGATTTGTTCAGAGGAGGTGTTCATCTCAAGTGGGATTCTTGAGAGGTGTGTTTCATCCTTTGATTTGTTAAGAGGAGGTGTTCATCTCAAGTGAGATTTTTGAGAGGTGTTTATCTTTTTAATTAGTTTACTGTTTACTGGTTCTTCTGCAAAGTTGATTGTAATTTGTAAATTGAATTTTGAAGATAGTGAATTAGATTATCTCTTTCGTATTAGAGGTGACAGAGAACTAGATGTAGGGTTGGCTTGACTCGAACCAAGTATAAATTATTGTGTATTTTTCTCTTTCCCTTTATTTTTTTTATTATATTATCGCTTCTACTTTATCTATATTCAATCTGATAATTAAAATTGAATTAACAAATTATTGGATATCTTAAATAAAATTTTAATTTGTGTATCTATTCACTCCTCTCTAGATGTCATTTGTCTAACATAAGTCTCTTATTTTCCTCTCTCCTCTCCCATTTCTTCCCTAATTAAACTATTATATTTAAATTTAATAAAAATAATTTAAAAACAATGTTAAAACTAAAAATATATTAACTAAATATTTAAAATTATGACAATAATAAACAATTTTATTTATTTTGACAATAAATTTTTTTATTTACGATGATGGAAATAAATAATTTAAAGTTATTTTATCATAATAAATAATTACTCATCTAATTAAAAAAATATCAAATATTAATCTAGTTATAATTAAGCTTAGTTATAATTAAGCTAACTTACGATAATTAGGTATTTTTAAGAAAATATTTATTAAAAAATATTTTAAAATAAATATATAATTTTTTGTTCATAATTGTAATGTAACATCTAAAAAATATGTTTTCTTATATAATATATTAAATTATAATATTTTTGGATCATTTAAATATTTTTATTTTTCAATAATAATAAAAGATTCGTGTTATTAAATTTAATATATTATTCTTAATAGAAAAATAAGATGGAGTGAGAAGAAAACAAAAGACAAAAAGAAAAAAAAAGAAAAAAGAAATAAGTAAATGAAGAGAGAAATATAAGAAAAGAAATAAAATAATAGAGAAAAATAATTGTATTATCTTAAACAAAATTTTTTCTTTCTTCTTACAATTTATATATGAATAATAAATTGGTGATAAATAAATTTAAAAAGATTTTATTTAAATAATTTTTCTTTATAAATATATTATTTATCATATTAATTCAGCAAATACAAGAATGTAATATACAAAATATTATAAGAAATTTAATTTTTTTCTACTTTCCGTGAAACGAGGAGAATTAATTTCTACTATCTATCTATGTTTTTCATAAATGATTTCAAAATAAGCTATATATTATAAACAACAAAAATAAAAATATATATACATCAAAGGGACTAACAAAAAGTAATGAAATGAACATAATAATAATAAGAAAAAAAAAACTTGTAAGAAAAGTGTTTTCATTTAATGTTTGATCTCGTCCTGAAACATGTGGAAACAATTTTTTTTTTTACAGAACAAAAAAAAGGTATATATATATATATATATATATATATATATATATATATATATATATATATATATATATATATATTTATATATTTATATATTTATATATTTATATATTTATATATTTAACTCTTATGGCTAATAATATGGCCTTGTCTAGTCGACGGCCTTACATTCTAAACTTCCTGTCTTGTAGGTCTTATTAGATCTGTGCAGTGTACTTTGGCATAAATCTTTCTCCTTGAAACTTTCCTTTGTGTTCCGTTGGTGGGTTTTTCATCTCTCTGTATGGCCACTGGAGTGAACAGAAAAATTTCAGCTGCATCAGCACGGGCTCACACCAGGAGGGCAAAGAAATCCAATGCCCCACAGCTACCTTCAGGTCCGTTTTCGCAATTCCTATCACTTTTCATCACACTTTCATTTTTATCGCATTTCAAGTTATAAACATTATCTGGGTCGTGCTGCATCTTTTGTTGTGAGGATGTTAATCCTTTCCCAGCGTTTGTTTTAATCGGGGTGAAGAATTCTGTTATTTTAAGGTATAAATGCTGTAGATTGTTTTGTTTGGACAAGTAAAATGAATCCTCCATGATGCTTCAATTCCATGGTTATTGCTTGCATTGCACCTGGAGAATTATTAGTTGTTTAAAATTTTGATATTCCTTTCCTCTTGTCTACAAGTCATATTTTAGTTAAGTTCTATTTTTATATACTGTCAGTATAAAACATTTTACAGGGTTAATCAATGAGAAATTATTCTACGTTTAACTCTGAAAATAGTTATTTCAAAAGTTAAATTGTACCGTACATACGTGCTAAATTGGTAATTGTTGCATGGATGATCGTCTAAATAAGTCTTTATACAGACTATGTATTGTAATTATATTCTTGTTAGTTATCAATGGGCGTTGGTCACTTTTCATTTCGTTCATTCCTTCTCTTTAGTAAGAGACTTATTTTATTATCAAGCTAAAGCTTTGGGAGGGGATTAATGGTAGAAGGAGGCCCATTCAAATTGCTTGTTAAGGGGGATTACTGGTAGGAGGGGTCCAGCTAAGCATTTGTAAGTAACCTGCTTTGATCATTACCAACTGAATTAACCCCTGTTGACTTTAGGAGATTTTTAGGTAGTCTTGCCTGTATTTAATAGGGTAATTAATAAATTATATATTGATATTCTTATGCTTTCCTTGTGGACTTCAAATTGTTTTTTTAACCTTTTTGTTGTAAGTTATATTTATCTGTTTTTGATTTGGCATCTCAATTTCTCAGGAATTCTTGGAACAGCATTAGCAGTGTTGTTTATTGGGTTTCTAGCATGGGCTTATAAGGTTATTCAACCTCCCCCTCACAAGATATGTGGCACTCCTGATGGACCGCCTATAACAGCTCCAAGAATTAAATTAAGAGATGGAAGGCATTTGGCATACAAAGAGTATGGTGTTCCAAAAGATGCAGCCATGTATAAAATCATCTTTGTTCATGGTTTTGATTCTTGCAGGCATGATGCCGTGCTTGCTGAAGCCCTATCGCCTGTAATTATTAATATTACATTTTTCTCTCTTTTTCATAGCATTCTTTATTAATATATTTGTTGTTTGTACTATTATATTTAAGATGGATTTTTCCAGGATATTGTTGAGGAGATGGGGGTCTACATTGTCTCCTTTGACAGACCTGGTTATGGGGAAAGTGATCCTGATCCAAATCGTACACCAAAAAGCATTGCATTAGATATAGAAGAACTTGCAGATCAGCTGGTGTTGGGTTCCAAATTCTATGTAGTGGGTTTCTCCATGGGTGGACAGGTTATTTGGAACTGCCTTAAATACATACCTCACAGGTATGACTTGTCAAGATATTGTTTAAAAACATTTCACTAATAATATTTCCTTTTGAATTACTAGCTCTTTTGTTATATTCACGTATGATATAATAAAAAATCAGCAACAACAATTAAGTTGTTGAACTGAATTAGTTGTTGGAAGTTATCTATATATGGCAGAAGAAATCCTGCGCAGAGATTATTCATTCATTTTTTGTACATTGACATATTCTTGTAACTCTTTCTCTAATACAGTTTCCAGAACCTTTTCTTCCATAAGGTTTCCTGTTTCTACATGTTCTTCAAGTAAACCTATTCCTAGAACTGAGTAATACTTACTACGATAAGTAATACTTACATCAATTGGTATCAGCCAGAACGATTCTTTTTGACCCACTTTCTCATGGCAGAATCCACATGTAACGCTGCAGCTATGAAAGACTTGGAAGAATGGGTCACATCGAGATTGGGGAGTCGTTTGGCTGAATTGGTGGGATCTATACAGAAAACTCTGAGTGCTTCTGTGCAAGACACTTTGCAGGAATTACTGCAGCCAAACAGGGAGGCCATAACATTAGGAATTAGAGCCAATCAATGTAGTTCTTATTATTCTTGTGGCACATGCTTAGCTTGGATTGACTTTCCACATTCCAATGGTGATAATGTAAACCAATAGCTTTAGCGATGTAACAATTTATTTTTTCATTGATAACACACCCGATGATTTTTGAGTCAGGTTGGCTATTGTGCATATGGAGGGTAGAGCATTACAATGGTATTATGCTGTCTTGAAAACTACAGGTTGCATTAATTTGCCTTGGAAGGAATACAAGAAATTGGTTCTTGAATGATTTAGTGTTGCTTATTGTGACCCAATGACAAATTTAATGAAATTGAGGCAAAAGAAGTTAGTTGTTAAGTACTATGATGAATTTGACGCTATTATTACTATGATGAATTTGACGCTATTATTACTCGGTTGAATTTGTCTGAAGAATATTTGTTAAGTTGTTTCTTGGGAGGACTCAAGAAAGATACTCAAACGTTGGTTCGCATGTTCCAACCAACTACAATAAGTTAGGATTTCTATTTGACAAGATTGTATGAGGCTGCAAATTTTTTTAGTTCTGCAGCCAAGTAGTCAATAGACAGCAGTAGGGAGTATTGGGTTCTAGACCATTGAGTCTGGATAAAAATGCATCTTTGATTGAGGACGTAGGTAAGATGAAAGCGGGACTAGGAAAATGTTTGAATTTGCCTTACATAAATGAGAAGAGGACTAAGGGGCCGTGCTACTTGTGTGATGAACCATATTCACCCAAACATGGTCTAACTCACAAGAAATTGCAAGTGTATATGTAGGAGGTCCCTGATGAAGATGTTCAAGTGGGACAATGGAACAATACGGCCATCAGATGAATCACACATCTCTGTTAATGCCCTAACTGGTATGGCAATTTTCGGACTATGAGAATTACTGGTTACTATCAAGAAAGACCTTTCCATATTCTTATTGGTAGTGGCAACACACAACTTCTTGGATATTCAAGTTGCCATGAACGATGGTTGCAAGATTGATGAAGTGGATTACTTGAATGTTGTGGGGGCTGATAGATCCAAGATTCAAATCCCTTTGATGATGAAAGATTTTTCTTGGATTATTCAATAAACTACGTTTAAGTCAGACATGTTATTAATTCCTGTAGGTTGTTGTGAGGTTATCCTAATAATTGAATGGTAGTTACTTTGGGAGACATCACTTGGAATTTTAATAACTTGACGACGGATTTCAAGATCCATGGATGAAGACATGTGTTGAGAGGCTCCTCCACGGGATTGAAGACAGCTAAGAAGCAACATAACTAAGATGTAATAGCTCGAGAAAGCTTTGATTAGAGGTGTTAATATTTCCATACTTCACCTTGAGGAGGATGAGGGAAAATTACTTCAATTACTTACCACACACATTGCCCGACTTGTAGTAGCAGAGGAGGTGAATCATCTGTTACAGGAGTTGGAAATATCTTTTAAGAACTAATTCGGCCAATATATGACCTTACAAATATGCAAAAAATCAAAAGGATATTTTGGATAATATGATTCAGGATTATTTGAAGTCATGGGTTATTCAAAATAGTAGTAGCCCTTATGCCAGTCCAATAGTGTTGGTTAGTAAGAAAGATGGATCACGATGGATGTGCGTGGACTATAAGGAACTAAACAAAAATACGGTGAAGTCCGTTATGTATGTGAAGTCTGCAACTAATGAAAGATGTGTTATTATGGTTGCACGCTTCTCTCATAGGTGGTCATCTACGTGTAAATGCGACTATGAAAAGAGTTAAGTCCATTATGTATTGCAAAGGACTAAGTGATGTTAAAACTTTCAGCCAACAATATTCTATGTGCTAGCAGTGTAAAAATGAGATAATAGCTACTTTGGGATTGTTACAACTGTTAGATATGATTAGATATTAGTTGATATTGTTTGATATTGTTGAGATATTGTTAGATATTGTTAATCACAATATCAAATAATATCTTTTTATTTACCCTATTTGTATTCTGTTACTCTTTTGAGGAGTACCTTTCTTTATTATAAATACACTGCCTTATGTGTGGTAAATACATAAGGGAAATTAACCCTATATTCAACATGGTATCAAGAGCTTAAGGTCTCTTAGGATTTTTTTTCGGCTCTGCCACTGAACCTACAGCTGTCTCCGCCGCTGCTGCCGTCGCCAGAGTAGCAGTTCGGACCGCCGAGCACAGGGTTTTGCTCGCCTCCTCCGTGCGACCTCCACCGTGGAAGTTTCGCGGTCATCGGAGCAGCCACGCTCCCTCACGCGCCTCCCGAAGCCGCGCCACCTTCTCCCGTTCCGCCGCGCGTGGCGGCGCGTCTCGTCGCCTCCTTCTCCTCTCTCTGGATCTGTCCTCGCTGCTCCAATCGGACCTCTTTGGTGTTTTAGGTTTTTTCTCTCTCTTCCTCCATGGCATCTTCTGCCGCCACTTCCAATCTCGAAGTTACCTCCGTCGACTCCGGTGGGTCCGAGCAATCTGTTTTTACTAATTATGTCAATGTGAATTTACCCATTGATAAATTAGATGGTACGAATTATGCAACTTGGGCATCTGATATTAGACTTTGGCTTGAGAGTCAGGGGTATGTTGATCATCTTACTACCAAGGTAGATGATGTTCCTTCCAATGATCGTGTCCGTTGGAAGAAAGTTGATGCTCATATATGTATGGTTCTCAAGAATACCATCCAATCTTCTTTAAAACAAATTTTTCGATCATATGGCACATGTTATGACGTTTGGGAACAAGCCAAATTATTATACACCAATGACACTCAACGTCTTTATGGTGTTTGTTACAATCTTCTTGATGTTATTGCTCCTCGAGATAAGGATCCTGTGGCGGATTATGTGGGTAAGATCCATGCTCTTCTCCATGAATTTAATGAGTTATTACCCCCTGCCTCGACTCCTGCCCAAGAATTAGAGCAACGATCAAAGTTTTTCATGGTTTTGATGTTACACGGACTTGCCGATAAATATGCCCCTGTTCGTGACCGGATTTTGGGTTCCCCTGTTACACCCAGTTTTACCGCTACCAGTTCCTCCCTTTTGCGGGTGCCATGTAAACCTCTCAATATTCCCCTGTAGTTTCTAATGATTCATCTCGCCTTGGCCTCTCACCGTGATGATCGTAATCGCTCTCACAAACCGGGCAAAGGGCGTGTCAAGTGTGACCATTGTGGCAAACTAGGCCACAAAATTGACAAATGTTATGCTTTACATGGTTATCCTCGTCGATCTGCTGCAGTTGCTCAGACTGATTCTTCCGCACAATCCTCTGCTGTGGATCCTCCTTCGTCTGTACCTTCGAACAAATCTGCTATCTTCAATGATTTTCTTCAATGGTATGAGGATCGAAAGCCCTCTAGTTCCACTACTTCATTGCCCACACAGGTACATCTTTTGCTTGGTCCGACTCACTCTTCTTCTATTGGCCCTTGGGTTCTTGACTCAGGCGCCACCGATCACATCACTTGGTAACAAATCTTTATTTTCCTCTTTCACTTCTTCTCATAATTTACCCTCTCGTTACAATGGCTAATGGGTCTACAACTTTAGCTCATGGTGTTGGAACGGTTACTCTTTTCTCTCGTTGTCCATTGATAATGTTTTGTATGTACCGGGTCCCCCTTTAACTTATTATCCATTAGCCGTCTAACTCGATCTCTTGATTGTGTTATCTCTTTTACCAAAACTTCTGTTTCCCTACAGGACCGGAGCTCGCAAAGAGTGATTGGCACCGGATGTGAGTCACATGGACTTTATTATCTTCAACCTTCTCCGCATGTTGGCACGGTTATGGAGTCTCCTTCTCTCCTTCATGCTCGGCTTGGTCACCCCAGTCTGCGCAAATTACAAGCAACTTGTTCCCAGCTTATCCCGAGTTGTCCAATTTGGTGTGTGAGTCCTGTCGGTTAGGCAAACATAGTCGTACTTCCTTTTCTCGTAGTGTTTCCCAGCGTGCTTCATCCCCCTTTGCCTTAGTTCACTCGACATTTGGGGACCCAGTCGTGTTAAGTCTAATTTAGGTTTTCAATATTTTGTTACTTTTATTGATGATTTCTCTCGTTGTACTTGGTTATTTTTAATGAAAAATCGTTCCGAGTTGTTTTCTATATTCCAAAACTTTTATCATGAAATTAAAAATCAATTTGGTGTCTCTATTCAAACTTTTCGAAGTGATAATGGCCGTGAATATCTTTCAAACTCGTTTAAACAATTTATGGCTTCTCATGGCATTCTTCATCAAACTTCCTGTGCTTATACCCCTCAACAAAATGGGGTGGCTGAGCGCAAGAATAGACACCTTATTGAAACAACCCGTACTCTTTTAATTCATGGTGAGGTTCCTCAACATTTTTGGGGTGATGCTTGTTCTTACCGCTCGTTATCTTATTAATCGTATGCCCTCTTCGGTTTTAGATAACAAAATTCCCCATTCTATTTTATTTCCTCATGACACTCTCCATCCTTTACCTCCGAAGGTTTTTGGGTCTACCTGTTTTGTCCACAATTTTGATCCTGGTCATGATAAGTTATCTCCTCGATCACACAAATGTGTTTTCTTAGGATTTACTCGATCCCAAAAAGGATACAAGTGTTTTTCTCCTTCTCTTAATCGCTATTTTGTGTCTGCAGATGTCACCTTCAATGAGTGTTCCTTTTACTTTAAGGACCCTTCCCTACCTGCTGAGTCTCCATCTCGCTACGAGTCCCATTCCTGTTCTCATTGATCCTTATGTTGAGGACCATCCACCATTAGCCCCTCCTCCTCCACCACCCCTTCAGGTTTATAGTCGCAGACCTCGCCCACAACAGACGCCACATGACTCACTCCCAGTGCCAAATACTCGCCTCCTCCGGCTTCGTCCACGAGTCTGACCTTCCTATTGCCCTTCGTAAAGGTACGCGTTCTACTCGTAATCCTTCTCCACATTATACTGCTTTAAGTTATCATCGAATTTCTTCACCATTTTATACCTGTCTCTCGTCTATTTCTTCTGTGTCTATTCCTAAATCTGTCTCTGAAGCCTTAGCCCACCCTGGTTGGCGTCAGGCCATGCTAGATGAACTCGGTGCTCTTCAGACTAGTGGAACCTGGACGCTTGTCCCATTACCATCTGGAAAATCTGTTGTTGGTTGCAGGTGGGTCTTCGCTATCAAGGTTGGTCCTGATGGTACTATTGATCGCCTCAAAGCTCGCCTTGTAGCCAAAGGCTATACCCAAATTTTTGGGTTGGATTATGGTGATACTTTCTCTCCAGTGGCAAAGATGGCTTCTGTTCGTTTATTCATTGCCATGGCTGCTATTCAACAATGGCCTCTTTATCAACTGGATGTCAAAAATGCTTTCTTGAATGGCGATTTGCAAGAAGAGATTTATATGGAGCAACCTCCCGGATTTGTTGCTCAGGGGGAGTCTTCTGGATTGGTATGTCGTCTTCGCAAATCTTTATATGGCCTAAAACAGTCTCCTAGGGCCTGGTTTGGAAAATTTAGCAGCGTTGTTCAACAATTTGGCATGACTAGAAGTGAGGCAGACCACTCAGTCTTTTACCGTCACTCGAATGCTGGATGTATCTATTTGATAGTGTATGTCGATGACATTGTTCTTACAGGTAGTGACCATCATGGCATCTCTCAGATGAAACAACACCTTTGCCACCATTTTCAAACCAAAGATCTTGGCAAACTCAGATATTTCTTGGGTATTGAGGTAGCACAATCTACCGATGGCATTGTTATATCTCAAAGAAAGTATGCATTGGATATTTTGGAGGAAACTGGGTTGATGAATTCAAAGCCTGTTGACACACCCATGGATCCTAATACCAAACTCTTGCCAAATCAAGGGGAGCCAATGTCAGATCCTGAACAGTATAGAAGATTAGTTGGAAAATTAAATTATCTTACGATTACTCGCCCCGACATTTCCTTTGCGAGTCGGTGTGGTGAGTCAATTCCTCAATTCTCCTTGTCAAGATCATTGGAATGCGAGTCATCCGTATATTGAAGTACATCAAAAAGTCTCCTGGAAAAGGTTTGGTGTATGACTCCCATAATCATACAAGAGTTGTCTGCTATTCGGATGCCGATTAGGCAGGATCTCCCTCGATAGAAGATCTACATCCGGGTATTGTGTTTCCATTGGTGGTAACTTGATCTCATGGAAAAGTAAGAAACAAAGTGTTGTGGCAAGATCCAGATGCAGAAGCGAGTATAGAGCTATGGCCTCAGCTACCCGTGAACTTATTTGGCTCAAGCAATTGCTTAAAGAGCTACAATTTGGAGATGTCACTCAAATGACACTAGTGTGTGACAATCAGGCTGCTCTCCATATAAGCTCTAATCCTGTCTTTCATGAGAGGACTAAACACATTGAGATTGACTGCCATTTTATTCGGAAAAGATTATGTCTGGAGACATCAAGATCGAGTTCGTTAACTCATGTGATCAATTAGCAGATATTTTCACTAAGTCTTTACGGGGACCTAGGATGGATTATCTTTGTACCAAGCTAGGCACATACGATTTGTATGCTCCAGCTTGAGGGGGAGTGTTAGATATGATTAGATATTAGTTGATATTGTTTGATATTGTTGAGATATTGTTAGATATTGTTAATCACAATATCAAATAATATCTTTTTATTTACCCTATTTGTATTCTGTTACTCTTTTGAGGAGTACCTTTCTTTATTATAAATACACTGCCCTATGTGTGGTAAATACATAAGGGAAATTAACCCTATATTCAACAACAACCACTACCTATACTGGAGCAAATTTGGCAGCATATGACGATGTATTTTATAGAAGGACTACCTAAGTCATATGTGCAACAACAATGTTATGTGTGCTAGCATTGTAAAAATGAGATAATAGCTACTTTGGGATTGTTACAACCACTACCTATACTGGAGAAAATGTGGCAGCATATTATGACGAATTTTATGAAAGGACTACCTAAGTCATATGGGAAACAACAATGTTTTGTGTGCTAGCGGTGTAAAAATGAGATAATAGCTACTTTGGGATTCTTACATCCACTACCTATATTGGAGCAAATTTGGCAGCATATTACGATGAATTTTATAGAAGGACTACCTAAGTCATATGGGAAACAAGTCACTTTTGTGGTGGTAGATAGATTGAGTAAAGTTGCCCACTTCACAACACTGAAACATCCTTGTCCTGCTAGTGACATAGCTCAAGCATTCATGGATAATATATTTAAGTTGAATAGGTGCCCATACTTCATTACCAGTGACAAGGATCTTATATTTGTAAGTCAATTTTGACAGGATTTTATGGCTTTTCAAGGAGTTCAAATTCAACTCTCAACTAGCTATCTTCCACAAATGGGCGGGCAATTGGAAGTAGTGAATAGGGGTTTAGAACCTATCTCAGATGTATATGAGCATATACACCACAAACCGAGTCCAAATTGTTGCATATGGCTGAATGGTGGTATAACACTACAAAACACACAACAATTAGAGCTACTCCTAATGAAATCAGGTATGGTCAGCCACCCTCTATCTATCTTCCTTACCTTCCAGGGGAATCCAATGTGGAATTAGTGGACAGGAGTTTGAGGAAGAGAGAAGAAATGTTAAAACTATTCAAGTTTCACTTAGAAGAGCCAAGATAAGATGAAGGAATTGGCAAACAAACACATAACTAACAAGAAATACCAGATTGGGAATCTAGTATATGTTAAATTGCATCCTTATAGGCAAATATTTGTGGCCTACAAAAGAAATGCGATGTTAAGTCCTAACTATTTTGGACCAGACACAATCATAGACTGGATTGGGGCTGTGGCTTATACACTAGATCTTCCTAGGCAGTCCAAGGTTCACAACGTCTTCCATGTTTCTCAACTTAAGAAACATGTTGGAGATGCATGGACTTCTACACATCTGCCATACCAAGCTGAAGATGCGATTGAAGAGAAAGAGCCACAAGGCATCTTGGATAGGGTAACTGCCAAGAGAAAAGGGGCACTAGTGATTAAAGTTTTAGTTCAATGGAAGTATCAACTTCCAGAAGATGCTACTTAAAAGTTCTACTATGACCTGAAGAAGAAATATCCTATGTTCAATCCTTGAGGACAAGGATAGGTTTAGAGGGGGGGACTTTGAAATGATAAAAATCAGCAACAACAATTAAGTTGTTGAATTGAATTAGCTGTTGGAAGTTAGCTATATATGGCAGGGGAAATCCTGGCCAGAGATCATTCATTCATTTTTTATACATTGACATATTCTTGTAACTCTTTCTCTAATACAGTCTCCGGAACCTTTTCTTCCATAAGGTTTCCTGTTTCTACATGTTCTTCAAGTAAACCTATTCCTAGAACTGAGTAATACTTACTACGATAAGTAATACTTACATCAACGTATGCTTGCTTTCCTATACATGTTAGTGGTGTGTGATACAATTGTCAAACTCTCCAAAAATAATTTTTTCAATGCTAACAGGTTGGCAGGTGCTGGACTAGGTGCCCCAGCTGTCAACTACTGGTGGCCTGGTCTTCCTGAAAACTTAACTACTGAAGCCTATGGCCAACAGAAGTTACAAGACCAATGGGCTCTTCGTGTTGCTCACTACGCACCATGGCTAACTTACTGGTGGAACACTCAACAATGGTTCCCTCGAGCAAGTGTAATTGTTGGAAGTCTAGATATCCTTTCTCATGAAGACAAAGAACTTCTGCCTAAGCTGTCCCGTAGAAAAAGTTATGCGGTAAATATCCAGCCTTTAGGTTATTACAAAATTGTGATTTTTTGCTGAATGTAATTCACTCTTGAAAGTTGACTTCCATGCTCCAACAGAAAGTGTTTTTTTTTTTTTTTCGTTTTCCTTCATGTTTAATTTAGCATGTGGATTTCTGCATTTCTTTAAGCTGGTCTTATACAATTCTCACCGCCTAATTTTTCTGAATCTCTGTAATCATACTTTGTGTTATTGTTTTTGGTGTTGTACTTATAAAAATAGTTTCATGACTTTTGGAATTAATCGCTACAATAGTTTGTCTTTCGTTACAAATATTAAAAGATATATATTAGACAGAAATATAGACAGGAGTGTTTAAACTATGATGATTGATTGGATTATGTTGGCATCAATTTTGGAGTAGATGCAACATTTTAGGCATGTATTAGAATTCTTAATAATAATATGTTTCATAACACAAGTATTTGGTTGAAACTTGATATCTATTTACATGATAAATCTTCTACCAATTTAAAGCAGAATAAATGGGTTGCATGAAAAATATTTCGAAGCAATTTTATATCAGAGAAGCAAAATGTTTGTTTGAGCTCAAGGCTTTGGTGCATTGCTCCTGTCAGATAACTAAGTTCCTCATTCTCTTTATTCTCTTATCTTCAAAATTACATAATCAACTTATATAGAAAATTGTTAGAGCACTGCCCGTGACCTTTTTAACTTGGCATAGCAGGTAAATCAATCTTCATGATGTTATTATCTTCTATTCGATGCTTTTCCCCCTGCATCCCATGCATAACTTCCAGAAGTTCATTGTTTTCATGGTTAGTATGTATTAAAAGAGTTGTCTCGAAATTTGTGATGGATCGTTGAGTAACAAAATGAATTTTGAAGGCTCCATTGTAATTATGGGATGTTGAAATTCCACAATTTTTAGTTGGTCATTTTCTTGTTGAAGCACTACACAATGACATCATCCGATATACAGTTTATGGAACCCCCTCAGGAAGGACGTTTACTATGTTCTTGTTGAGGCAAGACAAGTTGTTACTTGTGCACACTTTGACTTGATAATGCTTCGGTAGCACGTGCTTTAGTTTTGATATATAATGGTAAAGCAACTTTTTTTCTAAAATCACCCTTCTAGTATGGAAATCTTTCAAATTTCATCCACTAATAGAAAACTAATTCTGGAATTTGGTTCTTTTGAAAAGTGGTTGATTAGGCCATTGAATTTGGTTAGTCTCATTTTAACCGAACATGTTCAACTGAGTAATTTCTTTGTTTCTTACCACAATTCGTGATAGAAATTTATAAAGTTTTTTTCTGTGTGGCTTCCACAGGCACAGATAAGACAGCAAGGTGAGTATGAAACCATCCACCGTGACCTAAATATTGGATTCGGTAACTGGGAATACAGTCCCCTTGATCTTGAAAATCCATTTCCAAATAATGAAGCTTCTGTCCATATTTGGCAAGGAGATGATGATCTACTGGTTCCAGTTACTCTGCAACGATACATAGCTCAAAAGCTTCCATGGATTCTCTATCACGAGCTTCCTGGTTCAGGTCACTTGTTTCCTCATGCTGATGGTATGAGTGACACTATCGTTAAGTCACTTTTGCTTGCGAAGTAGGCTTCTTCTATATTGGTTACTGTCTAGCTCAGGTCAGTTATTGCATTTGACATCTTAGTTTTGGAGAATTCATGAACTGATGATAAGAATGATGTATCAACCTTGAAAAACATTGAGTGCAGTTAATGGTATGGAGAGATCCAGTTACTTAATAATTGTATGAACTTGTGTTAGTTTATGCGGGATGTTATTTAACAGAAGCTGTTTTGTTTCTCTAAAGCCTCAGTAAGTTACTCTCAAGCTGACACAATGGAAACATGAGCATTGAACAGTTTTTCTTTCGGCATAATTCTTCTTTGTCATGATCGACAATTAGGTCAAACAAACGATAGTTGGTATCTGTAACATAAATTGATGGATTTGGTGTTTAATTGTTTATCTAGTGTTTGGTTACAAAATTTGAGTGTATAAAGAAGCAGTTTTGAAATTATTTTGTTCCTTTACGTAGTTATTGTTAAATAATACTTGAACTGTTTGGTCAACTGCACAGTAGGCACAGCCCAACCACTTTCAAATGTCTTTAGTTTTTCGGTTGAATGGCATTGGAACTTAATTTTCAAATCTTATGAAATTAAAAACACATGCAAGTTATCGAAATTAAGGAAAAAAAGGTCGACGGAATATATTCTAAATATTGCTAAATACGCAATGTTTCTTTACAAATTAATTGTTCTTATGGCTGGATGTGTTTGTCACACAAATTCGACCAGATTAGCTTCTGCAATTTAGTATTTGGTGTATAATATATGAAAATAGAACGTACGGATAGAAAAAACCCTGTTTTATAATGTCAATTATTCACAAAGTTCATTGATTTTTTCAATAATTTTCTTTTAAGTGATACTTATAATGCTATAATTGATCTACCGTGTAAAATTTTGTGTCAAACAATGAATATCATTATATTGGCAATGATAAAATTCTCATCAGCGCAATGATACCAGGAAATAATTATCTACTACGTGTGTACTAATTCTGATGAACATCTTAATCGTGTTCATCTTTCAAAATGTGTCAATTTCCCTTGTTAGTTTAATTTGTTTTATTATTCTCAAAATAGATAAATGTTTTTGTTGGAATCCCGCAGTGGAATATTTGCATTAAAGACAAAAATCAAGAGGGGGTGAATTAGTTTCTTAAAAAAAAATTATCCCTTAAAAAATTTTTTGCAAGATTTTACCGATTAAAAGATAATATATTAGAGCACATGAAAAATAAAGAGAAAAGAGAAGAAGATTACACAAGTAATTTATATTGGTTCGGATCAAAAGACCTTACGTTCAGTTGTTAATCACTCTAAAAGAGAATTAACTCAATCACTAAAATAATGATTCTCAAATAAACAGATTACAAATAGTAAGGATTAGAAAACACCTCTTTTGAGTCACACAAAAGATGAACACCTCCTTTGAAGTCACAAAGGATGAAGACAACTTTCTTAGAGACGACACAACACTCAATCCACCAAGAAGTCCACTCAATGATTCTTATCGCTTCTAGCTCACACTAGGTTTTCAAAGCCCTTTTTTCTTCCCAACTCAAAGTTCTCTCAGCAATCATAGCTCTTAACTTTCTGAGTATGAAAATGGTTTGTCTTTCTTCACTTGAGAGCATGAGAGTCCTTTAAATAGAGTTTTACGGTTTCCAATTTTAGGGTTTTCGAATTTAGGGTTTTAGGGTTTCCAATTTTAGGGTTTCCAATTTTAGGGGTTTAGGGTTTCCAATTTTAGGGTTTCCAATTTTAGTATGAAAATTATGACTTGAGAGCATGAGAGTCCTTTAAATAGAGTCCTTTACAATCAATTTCAAATGTATATAGGTCTTCTAATCTTGAAGTCCTTTATTCTTGAATCATCATCAAAATCTTTAGTCACCATATCCTTGCATTTTCAACAATCTGCCCCTTTTTTTATGATGATCAAAATTTGCTTTAAAGCCTCTTTGTAATAACCTGTTTTCTGTCACAACTATCATAGAAAAATATTTAACACACCAGGCTTTAAATATATTCTCCCTCTTTTTATCATAAACAAAAAGACAAGCAGTAAACATAAGCAAAAAAAATCCCACTCAATAAATGCTAGAAAATAAATTACTCCCCCTCAAGAAATCAATTGTGGATATTTATTTAGTCAAGTCAACAATACAAATTCTAACATAGATTCGAAAAAAATAGCTAATCCTATGATAACAAGAGTTCTAAAATTCATCACTAAGGGAATCATAGCCAAATTTTAAGTCAAACTTGTGTTCCAGATGAAAGTGATGGAGATCTTATTGAATCATTTGCTAAAATGAAGATCTTGTGGATTTGATGAAGTCAAAGGCTAATCTGATGAAGTCAAAGGCTACTGGGGTTAAAGGGTAGAGTGATTAGTGAGTCTGCGTCTATACATAGGTATAATCATTCATATCTCTCTGTTGCATGAGGTTTCATCATTTGAAAGAATTTGAAAATGCCTTTAAAGATGTTTTTAATTCGTTAAAAACCAAAGCAATCGGTTAAATTGTTTTTAAGAAATTGTTTTACCTGATATTATATGAGCTTTATCAATTAAAATGTTCTTAAAACTTACATAACAAATTTTTAACTGATAGGTTTTCGAAATAATCGATTAAAACCTTTCAAAACATTCATTGGAACTGTTTTAATCGATACACTTTTGAATTAATCGATTATTTTTATTAAAGGAGTTTTTGAAAACCTTCTGCCAGTGTTTTAACTGATATAATTTCGAAATAATCGATTAAAATCACTTAAAATGTTTTAGAAAGTGTTCTGGCAGTATTTTAATCGATACAAACTCGAAATAATCGATTAAAATAACTTGAAGTGTTTTGAAAGATGTTCTGTCAGTATTTTAATCGATATAAAATCAAACTAATAGATTAAAACAACTTAAGGTACTTTTTGCTAACTGTTTTAATCAATTAAAACTTGTTGTTATTAGTTAAAATCACTTAGAAAGTTTTATGAAAATTTTGGCAGAATTTTAATTGATTAAAATGCAAAATAATCGATTAAAACAACTTAAGGGAATTGTTGTTAATTGTTTTAATTGATTAAAACATTGTCGCATCATTAAAATAAATATGGAAAATGATCAAGAACATTTTAACAGATTAAAAGAAGTTTTAACCGATTAATCAAAGACTTGTAACAGATTAAAAGAACAGTTTAACAGATTAATTAAACAAGAAGTTGAAATTTTTTTCTATATAAACAGACTTGATTCAACATTTTAAAATACACTTTTGAGCAATCAATCAAGTAATCATAAGAGCTACTTTCAAGAAAGAATCACACAAGTTTTGTGGAGTTTTTCAAAGTTCTTTCTTGAGGCAATTTTTGTATTCTTTTGGTGAAGAAACTCATTCTATAGAAGCTGCATAATCCGGGTTTGATTGTTCTAGTTTCTTCTTTTTGTTCTTTCAATTTCTTTACTGTATTGTGAGTGTCTGGAATTTTTGGGCACTGGTTTTGTAGTTGGAATTTGGCTACAGGTTGGTTCAAGAACTGGAATTTGGTTCTTGGTGAAGGTTTAGGTGTAAGATATGGAATTTGGGTCTTGTGGTAGATTGGGTGTGTGATTGGTCAAAACTCTTAATCTTTGAAATAGATAATTTGTAAATTGTAAAAATCTTTCAAAGATCAATTCACCCCCCCTCTTGATCTCAGCCTCTTTTTCTAACAATTGGTATCAAGAGCAGGGTCTTGAAAAATACTCAAGACTTTCGGTCCAAATCTTTCATGGCTGAAAACAAATTACATTTTCTGAGGGTACTTCTATTAATAGACCTTCATTGTTTTGTGGTACAGATTATCCATTTTGGAAGATAAGGATGAAGATCTTTATTGAATCTATTGATATAAATGTTTGGAATATTATTGAACAAGGGTTTTCTGTTTTCAATAGTGAATGGTCTAGTTTGGATGATCATGAAAAGAAACAAATTCAAGATGATTGCACTACTAAAAATATCATTACATCTGCCCTTAACATGAATGATTTTTTTAGGATATCTCATTGCCAAACTGCCAAACAAATGTGGAAGTTCTTGAGATGACTTATGAAGAAACAGCGGAAATATGTTTGATGGCTAATTCAAATTCTCCAACATCCAGTGTAAGTTCTGATTCTTCAACAAGTACTATGAATTACAGCTCATTACAAGATGCTTTTTATGAAATGCATGCAGTAGCAAAAAGGTTAGAAATTGAAAACAAAAGATTAAAGAGCATGAACAGTAGATTAGAAAATAAAATCATCCTTCTTGAAAAGAAAATTCTTGATGAAGAAACTAATGATAAAAACCTGGAAATGAATGGTAACAATTCTAGTTGCATGTGTAATGGTAAAAAAGATTGTGAAAATTGTCCTGAATTACAAAAGAAATTAGCATATATAATAAAAACTGCCTCTAAATTTGCACAAGAAAAAACCAGTCTTGATGTTATACTTGATTATCAGAAATTGGTTATTAATCATGGTGGTATTGGTTTCACACCTCTTATTGGAAAGAAAACTAGAGCATTCAAAAATTATTTTTCATACAATAAATATGTCTCATCACCATTTATTACATGCTTTTATTGTATGAAAAGAGGTCATTTTGTTAAATTTTGTAGAATCAAGAAATATGTTATTCTAAGAGGAAAAATGAAGTGGATTCCCAAGAATTCACTCCATATAACATGATTGGACCCTATAATTCTAAAAAGGGTACCAGATATATGCTAAATCTGTTTTGCAGGAACAAAATCTGGAAATTCTTTGGTACCTGATCAACAAATATTGATTCTGGATTCATGGACTAAGTATTTTAATTGATATAAAACTGTTTTAATCAATTAATTTCACTTACAGAGAATACTAGAAAAATTGTCCATACAGTTTTAATCGATTATTCTATGAATTAATCGATTAAAATGTTCTCAAGATTTTAATATAGTTTTATCCTCTCTATTTTAATCGATTAAAAATGATTTACATCAATTA